TAAATTGATACTATAAACTAGAACAAATAAATTAAAGTAAATGAAACCGAGTCTTTCAACTCAAATAAATTCTACCGTAAGTCTTAAGGTGTTTGAATTAATTGACTAGGATTTCAAAGTCACATCTTAAAAATTCCTCCTCGCTCAATCCCTCAAATGGTAAACTATTCAAATAATAATAATAATAATGATAAATAAATTAGAGTCAATGGATGATTTATTGTAACGGCAAATAAATAAAAACATCCTGGAAGAAAAACTTCCTAGTCCACAATACAACTTCCCCAGAGAACAGAGAACTCGTCTCGTTCTGGGAAGAAATAAACACAACAGACAGACACCTGAATTAGCCTCAGGCATGTTTGTTTTTGGTTCCTTTCTTCAAAATCAAATGAGGAATTTGAAGAATTACAGACAAACAAACAAATTATTAAAGACACAATGGGTAGGACCGCAGTCAAATCAAGGTCCACCCATATTTCTTTTGTTTAAATGGTGTATTTCATGTAGCCAAACCAGCTTTTGTTGAAGTAGCTGGTTTGGAAGAATCAGTTGTTGGGGTCGTCACCCCTTGCCCTGACATAAGCAATATAGTCACCGTAAGGCATGGTGAATATTGTGCTCTGGTAACGGGTCAGTCTTATACGCCTCCTTAGTAACTCAGTGATGGTGCCATTGAAGCCTGCTTTACGCATCAGCGAGTCAATCGCCTCCACTTTGGTCCAGCCTAAAAGAAAACAACCACACGAGAAGAGATCAGACATCCACCTTTAAGAAAACTATAAGTAAACCTTTAGACAGAAGCCAATTGCCTGTGTTCCAGTATACTTTAACTACAGGCTCTATGACAATAGAATGAAATCTAATAATTATAGCAGAAACATACGAAAAGATTTTGAAATGGACAACAGACTTATCTTTTAAGTCACAACGTATTGCAGGACAACACTAGTACTTCAAATGGAAAAATAAAAAGGGTTTAATTTGTAAGTATAAGAGCATGAAGCAATAAAAACTAAGACATAAGCAGGTCCTTGGTGATACGGAGGAACTGGTGACCCAGGAAGTGACCATTAGAAGGATTTGCTGAACAGACTCAATCAATTAGCATAACTAAACAAGGGCATCTCTAGAGAAACATGGTTTGTGTTTGTAGAAAGACCATTTGGTATGGCACAGTTTAACAACACATGAATTAAAAAAACCATATAAAAACCAAAAAGATCACTCATGACAATACGGACTTGAAATCCAGGCCTCATGTGAGCACTATATAAAATCAATTTCTACCCAAACTGTAGAACATTCCCACGCCTTCAATCTTCATTAAGCACCTCAACACTCCACACCCATGACATGAATTGATAATATAAGAAGATTACATAAATAAAATGGAATGCCAATGACATATATATTTATATATAGAGAGAGAGAGAGACTTGTAAACAGGGAATAAAATCTACCTTCATGGGAAGCAATCTCAGGTAAATATGTGGCACTTCGCCTAGTATTATAGTCTGGATCAGTAAACTCAATAATTATGCCATGCTTCCCAACCTGCAAAAAATGTAAAATTGTGACTACATACTCCAGGCAGTGCTTAGATGTGTCAAAACCAATGTAGTCAATGGCAAAAGACACCCTTGCCTGACTGAAGTTACCTAGCCTCAGACAAGTTGAGGTGATTTTATGTTCAAGTGCCTTAACTACAGTGATCCAAACATAAACAAAATTTTACATGAATTTCAACCATCAAAAAGAGCAGCAAACCTAAGGCCACAACCAGTCTACATCTTCCAACAGTCAAGATCATTTGATCAATCCTTTTGTTGAAAGAACTAAAAGACCAGTAAAAAAAACCTGGGTTTGGTGGTTGGCACAGGTAAGGTACTAAACTTTTAGTGGGGGTAGGTGGAACCCACTTGAAATTAATACACCCTGGGTAATAAGAGGCAAGGAGGGAGGCCTCCCCCTAGAAGCCTGGAGGAGGAAAAATCCTCCAAGGGCAGGAAAGGGAAAACCATACATACCTCCCAGTCAAGGTAGTTGTTAGCTGTTTCATAATCAGTCAGAACAGAAACTGTACATTCTAAAGAAGGCAATTCTCTAGCTTGTATAGGGGGGAATCTCCGGTCCCTCAAAGCACTGCAAATACAACAAGCAAAACACAGAAACAAAA